CATTTTTTGCTCATGCAATTTATTTCACTTGATCTAAAAGAGTTTCTTTATATGAGTGAACCAGTAACAAAATGTGGGCACGTTTTAAGCAGAGTGGTTGCCTTTAACCATCCTGCAACTTGCTCACTGAAATCTTTGCTGGACGTGACCTTTTATTTGTGTGATTTGCAAAAGATACAAATGAAAAAAATGCACTTGAAACAACAGGTCGTTTTCCTCCAGTTTCAATGGTAAATTCATAAAATTGTTCAAACTTATTTTTTTAAGACCATTAACTGAAAAACTAGCATTTTATCATTGCATATAAATAGAACCTGATTCAAAGAAATTGCATGACCACCCATGAACCTTTTTCCTCTGACTTTGTTGATTCACATCTATATAACAGTCATAAATTAATGATTTATTTTCTGAAAGAAATTCGAGCAAGGTAGATAATAAGCAAGCCAGGAGACATATTCCCAGATGAGTATCCAAATTATTTCAAGGTGTGAATGCCAGTGGACAAAGACTTTCAAATTAATTTGAAATTAGAAAGAAAAAAAATGTTTTTTTTTTTTTTAAAAAAGTGCTACTGTATTGCAATGTCTATTTTATTTGTTTGGGGATTTTTTTTTGTTTGTTTTTTTTGTTTTTTTGGTGTGAAGTGTCCACCTTAACGAGCAGAAGGTATAGCAGCTGTCAAAGTTGAATGGTATACATGAGTGAATACTGTAGATGAAATACTACTGCTTAGAGAATATTTTTCCATTTTGAACAAATCTGTAAACTACACCTTGTTTGTAAGAAAATGCTTGTAATAGTCACTGTGCCATTCAGATGGGGATAAAAACAAAATTTGTCAAATAAACACTTTTGAAGAAATTGTGACTCGTGGTCAAAAATAGAAATGTAAAAAAATAACCTCTATCAACATTGACTTCTATCTTTTGGAAACTTTTCTGTTTTGACATTACAAAGTAACTTTATAGTCGAAGGCAGAACGAGCACTGCCTGAAGAACTTTGACCTGATCGAGTACCGCCAGTTGCTGAGCCACCTCTCCATCCAGATCTACCA